GTATTCAGAATGTTTCATGATTATCAGCTTATTGTATACAGAATGTTTCATGTTTATCAGCTTATTGTATACAGAATGTTTCATGCTTATCAGCTTATTGTATACAGAATGTTCATGCTTATCAGCTTATTGTATACTGAATGTTTCATTCTTATCAGCTTATTGTATTCAGAATGTTTCATGCTTATCAGCTTATTGTATACAGAATGTTTCATGCTTATCAGCTTATTGTATACAGAATGTTTCATGCTTATCAGCTTATTGTATACAGAATGTTTTATCAGTTTTAAAATTTGACTGTGAATTTTGTTAGTTTTACAGAATAGATTGATATCATTATGTAAATTTAACCTTTCACACCAATAAACATTTCTTGATTGAGTTTGAATTCTTGATGTAGGAGCTGAATAGGGTTTGTTTGTTTTTTACAACTAATAGTTTCCTACAATGAAGGATCAGTTCTTTGGTAAAGATAACAAGCTGTTTTCTTGCTATATTATTTTAGAAAATGTTGTATGTTAAAGTAATGTTTCTCATTCATTCTTTATTATTCCTGTTTGTAAGTTTCTTTTAGCATTAAAGTCTTACTTTTTTCACCTAGATAGTCTCCGTTCTTCCAAGAGCATGGTTTTTGCAACCTGCTGAAGGAACACTTCCCCAGTTAGAAATGTTTTGCAGCTTTTTAAAAAGATTTGCTTTGTTTTTACTTGATGAAGGAAAAGCTGGCCAAGAATCACGGTATGTCTACAGTATATCAGTTGTGCACACTTTGGATTATGTGTTAGCTTACAAATAGTTTTTCCTTAAATTTTTTCTTTAGGCATAGTTTAACTTTAATACATGAAAATATGTAGTGATTAGCAAATTGCTAACACAGTTGTAGAAAATTTAGTTTTATATTGTTCCCTCATCTTGCTCTTGCGATGTGGTTTGAGGAAATAAATTCAAGTGTTTATCCCTAAGGTAAAGTGTAAATATGCACAAAATAATATTGATAGGCATACAGTACTTTATATACAGTAATACTCCGTTTAGCACTCGGATAGGGTTCCTGAGAACAGAACTCTAAGCAGGGTCATTTTAACATTACGTATATGAAGATATGTAACTAAAGGCATTGTTTCTTACCTGTGAATGATGTATTGGTCACTATAATATCATCATTGCTGGAAAAAAGCTAATTTTTTTTAGCCTTCAATTTTCTTTGGTTACAGAACCATCAAATAAAAATAAGACCCCCTCCTGCCACACCCACCTGTCACATCTTTTCTTTCAGGATTTGTCAATAGATGTAGTTCTGTCTTATATTTACGACTACCAATTGACGTATTATATTACATTGTGTTCTGTACAGACATTTGTAGATCGCCTCCTAAGAAAATGTTTTTTTCCAATGGGAACGATATTGTATAGATGGATGACATTTTAACGGTTCATATTGTGTCGCTAGAAATGCCACGAAAATTGCAATAGTTACGGGACATTGTCTGCTTTTTGCGTGTTATTATTCTATGTTATTTTTTGCATTATTTTATTAAATAAAAATTATATAGTGCACTACTACCATTAGTATGGAAAAGTAGTGTTCAAAGAGTTATGGATTTTCATAATTTTGTTTCTCTCTCTCTCATGAAAAAAAAAATTTCTCAAGGAGACAAGATCTCTTTAACGAGTCACCTTAAAGTGGGGTGGCACTAAGGAAGGTATTACTGTGTGTGTATATATATATATATATATATATATATATATATAGAAAATAAATTCTAGAATTTA